CGGTGGCAGCATCTTTCCGGCGCTGGCGCTTGTCTGCCTCGGGTTGTAGTCGGGCTAATTCAATAGTATTGACACCTCGTGTGGTGCTCCTCCAAGCGTTACGGTGTGGAGTAATCGTCTCCCAGGTGAAGGGGTCGATTTGACACTTTTTCAGGTTTGTCTTAAGACTATCCTTATATCTTTTCAATTGCCCGCCAGCGTTTCGTTTACTATTCGTTAGGTGAATGTAAAGTAGCTGCTTTGGCAGTCTACTGTCGTCCATGCGGGTAACATGGCCAGTCCAACGTAGTTGATCATGGATAATGGTAGCCTCGATGCTCCTACAGTTGGAGTCAGCGAGAATACTGGCATTTGTTCTCTTGTCTTCCCAGGGAACTCGGAGGATGGAACGTAGACTACGTTGGTGAAAGTGTTCAAGTGTCTTGAGGTGCCTCCTGTATGTGACCCATGTCTCGCTGCCAAAAAGCAGGGTGGGGAGGACCACTGCTTGATATACGTGTAACTTTGTAGATAATTTCAGCTCCCTACAGCTGAAGACACTTGAGATGCACACCTGATCCGATGTTGAATCTCTTCATCGATGTCTGCGGTGGTGGACAGGTGGGAGCCAAGGTATTAGAAGTGGGTAACATTAGAGAGGGTAGTACCGTTAAGCTGGGTGGATGGTGGAGGTGTGGCTGAAACAGGGGCAGGCTGAAAGAGTATCTGAGTCTTACGTACATTCACCTCAAGGCCGAAGTATGCATAAGCATCTGCGTAGGTGTTCAGGATCTCGTGTAGGGCGTGTTCAGTGTGAGGAACAAGGGTGAGGTCGTCTGCATACTGAAGTTGAGTACTGGAAGCTGTCGACACCTTTGTTCCTGCCTGGAGTCGTCTTATATTGAAAGGTCCCTTCATCCGGTCCTGGATGTCCACCCTGCCGGCTGAATTGGCTCTGGCACGAGTAAGGAAGGCAGCCAAGAAAATGGAAAAGAAATTTGGTGCCAGTACACACACACACACACACACACACACACACACACACACACAGGACAATACCAGCACAAGAAAACCACAACAGGTAAAAGTTATTCACAAGAGGTCAAGTCACCGGGAGTCTCTGGTCGTGAGCGGCGGCAGAGAACGATTGTCAACAGTGTCCAATTACCTGCCATTGAGAGTCTCGCTAACAGCCCCGAGCAGCAGTGAACAAGGGCGACAATGGTGTGGTAGTTAGTGGCGGGAGCACGTGTTGTCTGGCCTGGTCCTGTAGGTGTGTGGGAGAGGGGGGAGGTAGGTGTGTGAGGGAGGGGGGAGGTAGGTGTGTGTGGGGAAGGGAAGGTGGGTGTGTGGGGGAAATAGGTGTGGGGGGGAGGAAGGGGTGATTGTGGGTGAAAGGGAAGAGTAAGGGTGTGTGGGGGGGAAAGGAGTAGGTATGGGTGTGTGGTGGAGAGGGGTATATTGTGGAAGGGGGGATAGGGTCAGGGAAGGGGGGAGGGTCATAGGGATGGGTGTGTGGGCAAAGGGGGTATAAGAGTGTGGGGGTGTGTACTGTGAGCTGTAAAGATGTAGGTGTGTGTAAGTGGGTTATAGGGGTGGGTGTGTGGGCCGAGGGTGGTTGTAGGCATGGGTTTTGTGGGGGTTGTAGAGGAGGTGTTGTGTATGTATGGGCAGCAGGGGAGTGTTGTGTGTAGGTGTAAGTAGGTCGAGGTATATGAGTGTATGTATGTTACGGATTTTTGCGAAATGTCCAGCATACATATTGGTAATTTTGCTAATTAACTTACTGACTGACAACTTAACCTAACCTAACCAAACCTAACCTAACCACCTAACCTAACCTAACCTAACCTAACCTAACCTAACCTAACCTAACCTAACCTAACTTTATTCAGTCATAAGGTTAGGTTAGGGTTGTCTGTTTGTGTTATTTTGTAAAATTACTAATAAAACTAGTGTGTACATATATATACTGTAAGTGTATGTATGTACAGTATGTATGTATATGTATGTAGTACGTTTCTTTTAAGACTTCTAGCCTTCTTGTGGTCACTGTTGCTTCCTTCCTCCTCCCACACCCACGTCAGGAGAATGAAATAAAGAAAATAGTGATAAATATGGAAACACACATCACGCTCTGGTAACCCAAACCACGGTCCACCACCTCTTTCTACTCTCCTCCTACCTCCTAACTCTTTCTTCCTCTTCCTCCTCTCTACACACACCCAATCGACACATTACCTCTCGTCTCACCCCTTTATCGACCTCATTAGAATTGTCGTATTACCACCTACTATAGTACTGACCTCGCCGTATAGTCTCTGGCGGTAAGATTCCTGTAGTATGGGTTTTAAAGACTACCTTCCTTGTGTGCCTTTATGGGGTTGAATTGTGGGTGAGGAGCTAATTAAAGAGATCAAAATATTTATAAATTTTTAAATTGTTTGTCACAGAGATAGAATTTGATAATGATTCTTGGAAAATTTGTGTTTGGTGTTGGGAGGTAATTTTTTTTGGGGGGGTTACTTTGTTCATTCGTGTTAGTGAATTATTATTATTTTTGTGATTCTTGTGATTTTTGTGTTTGTAGATTTGTGTTGGTAGTGTGTGGGGTTAATTGGCTTATTTTAATCCTTCTTTTCTTTCTTTCTCTTCTTTTCTTTTCTCTTTCTTTCTTCTTCTTTTTCTTCTTCTTCTTCTTTTCTTTCTATTCACTCTCTTTCTTCTTCTTTCTTCACCATTCACCCCTTCACGAATCTCCTACACGGATATTTATCACCCACTCTACCATTTCTCTTACATAAATTATTCTCTTTTGTGTTTCTCCTCTTACCTTTTTTCAATTATCCTGTGTCTTCTGTTCTGCCATTTTCACTGTCCTTCCCTAACAATGATTCATCCTGAAACCTAACCCAACCTAATCTAACCTAACTTAACTTAACTTAATCTACCCCAACCCAACCCAACCTAACCCAACCTAACCTAACTTAACTCAATCGTTTCAACCTAACTTACCTATAATGTATCTTTTAAACTTACCTTAGTCCGTGGTGGGGGCTGATGTTTCTATGTTCGTCTGTCTGTATTTTCCTGTTCGTCTGGTTCTGTCTGTCTGTCTGTTTGTTTGTCTGTCTGTCTGTCTGTCTGTCTGTCTGTTCATTCGTCTGTCTGTCTGTCTCTGTCTGTCTGTTGCGTCTGTGTTGTCTGTGTCTGGTTCGTTCTTCTATCTGTCTGTTCTGTTTGTTTGTCTGTTTGTCTGTCTGTTGTCTGCTCTTGTCTGGGTTCGTTCGTTGTCTGTCGTTGTCTGTCTGTCTGTTTGTTCGTCTGTCTGTTTTTTGGTTCGTCTGGTTCTTTCTTTCGTCTGTCTCTGTTCGTCTGGTCTGCTGTTCGTCTGTCTGTTTGTCTGTTCGTCTGTCTATTTGTCGTTTGTTTGTCTGTCTGTCTGTCTGTTCTGTTTATCTGTCTTGGTCTATCGTCTGTTTGTCTGTTTGTCTGTCTATTTGTTGTCTGTCTGTCTGTCTGTCTGGTTGTCTGTCTGGTCTGTCTGTCTGTCTCTATTTTCTTCCCTTTTGTCACACTTATTCCGCCTTCTGTTCTTATCTTCGTTTATCAATATCTTCACGGTGTCTCCTTTAACACGGTCATGGTTCTTCCCACAACTTCCTGAACTCATGACAGTTTTTTCCCACCCCGACAGTTTTTTTTCCGAACTCCTGACAATTTTTTTTTTCCGAACCTCGAGCTCTTCCTTGAGCCTCGACATTTTTTCGAACCTTGATAACTTTATATTGCTAACAAATCATTAGCCAACCTAACCTAACCTAACCTAACCCAACCTAACCTAACCTAATTCTAACTTAACTGTCTCAACCTAACCTAACCTAACCAACAGAAGCCAAAACACAGTTGAGAATTAATTGTAGTAGACAATTAATGAATGATTTGTAGGTTAAAGGGAGGGGTGAGGAGGCGCTGCTCAATATCAACGAGACGAGATATGATGAGATATGATGTCAATTGCTCTGCATCCTGTAGAAGGAATCCTACCAACCATCCTATCATCCTCGTTGTGTTAAGTCAGTTCAGTTTTGCCTTTTACTGACTTGACTTGTTGTTTTACATCTCCTCCTCCTCCTATTTCTACTACTACTACTACTACTACTACTAATACTATCATTATTATTGATTACTACTACTACTACTACTACTACTGATTATTACTACTACCACCTCGTCAGCCATTATGACATAAGCCCCACCTTTATAAATAAGATCTTCCAGCTATTTCTTTTCATATTTATACAAAGAAAATTCATTATCAGTCATTCTTAAAGACCTTTTTCATTCTGTCTGACCGAAGACTGTTAAAGACGAAATGTGTGTGTGGTAGTGGTGGTGGTAGTGGATCTGGTAGTGATGGTGGTTGTGGTGGTGGTGGTAATGGTAGTGGTGATAGTATAGTTGTGGTGCTGATTGGTGCTGATTGTGGTTGATTGTGGTGGTGATAGGGGTGGTGCTTGTGATAGTGGTTGTGTAGTGTTAATAGTAGTGGTGGTTGTTGTTGGATATATGGTCGGGTGGTGGTAGTGGGTGGTGGTTGTGATAGTGGTGAGGTGTTAGTGGTGGTGGTTGTGGTGATGATATGGTAGTAGGGTGTTGTGTGTTGTTAGTGGGCAGGTGGTTGTATGCATGGTGGTGTTAGTGTCTGGGTGGGTGGTAGTGTGGGTGGTGGTAGGCAGGGTGGTAGTAGTGGTGGTGGTGTGTGGTAGTGTGCCAGTCTGGGTAGTGGTGGGGCTATGGTAGTGGTAATGTGGTAGGGTGTGTTCTTGTGCCTGTCTGCCCGAGGGTCCTCCTGTCTAATGTTTGTTCTCACCTATTTTGAGAGTCCGATACCACTTACTGTAGCACGGGGCTCACTGTCTGGTACGGTGGCTGGCGGGGCTCACTGTCTGGCTGGGTGGTGGCTGGGGGCTCACTGTCTGGCTTGGGTATGGTGCTGGAGGGCCACTGTCTTGGCTGGCATGGGGCTGGGGGCTCTTACTGTCTGGCTGGGTACGGGGCTGGGGGCTACTGTCTGGCTGGGTATGGTTGGCGTGGCTCACTGTCTGGCTGTGCATGGTGGGGCTGGGGGCTCACTGTTCACACAGTGGCTGCGCTCACTGCCTGGCTGGGTACGGTGGCTGGCGGGCCCACCGTCTGGCCGGGTACGGTGGCTGGCGGGGCCACTGTCTGGCTGGGTACGGTGGTTATGGGCCAACAACTGGTCAGTACGGTGTGGCTGGCGGCTCACTGCTCCGGCTGGGTACGGTGGCTGGGGCTCACTGTCTGGCTGGCACGGTGGCTGGGGGCTCACTGTCTGGCTGGGTACGGTGGCTGGGTGCCCAATGTCTGGCTGCATGGTAGTCAGGCCTACTGCCCGGCTGGGTACGGTGCTGGGGGCTCACTGTCTGGCTGGGTACGCGGCTGGCGGGGCTCACTGCCTGGCTGGGTACGGTGGCTGGGGGCCCACTGTCTGGCTGGGTACGGTGGCCAAGTGCCTACTGTCTGGCTGTGGGTACGGTGGCTGGGGGTCACCGCCCCGGCTGGGTACGGTGGCTGCGGGGCCCACTGCCTGGCCGGGTACGGTGGCTGGGGGCTCACTGGCTGGGTACGAAAATAAGGGCCCGATCGTCTGGCTTGGGCACGGTGGTCAGGGGCTCACTGTCTGCCAGTACGGTATTATGGGCCTGCCTGGCTGGGTACGGTGGCTGGGGGCTGGCTGGGTACGGGAATAAGTGGGGCCCACCGGCTGGGTACGGTGGCTGGGGGCCATCTGGCTGGGCACGGTGGCTAAGCGGGCTCACCGCCTGGCACGGTGGCTGGCGGGGCTCACTGTCTGGCTGGGTACGGTGGCTGGCGGGGCCTGCCCGCCGCTGGGCACACGGTGGCTGGCGGGCTCACCGTCTGGCTGGGTCCTGATGAAATATATCTTCAATTAATGATATGAGAACAAATTACTGACTCTACTGGGTTAGGTTAGGGTTACGTTACGTTAGGTTAGGTTTGGTTAGGTTAGGTTAGGGTTTGCTAGGTTAGGTTAGGTTGGTTGGTTAGGGTTGTGTTTTACAAAGCTAGAATTTTTCTGGTCATCTACAGCTGAAGAAGAAAAAAATGAATTCTCCTAGCTAATTAATTTGTTTCTTTAATCACCATTTTGTAGAAAAATTAAAACAAAATTAATGATACAGTATTCTGAGTACCAAACTTGCCACAAGATTAACAAGAACGTTTCATGAATCATTTAGACGTAAGTATACAGTAGATCCTTGAAATCACTCAATAAGTTTTCACTATAAGGAGAATTTTTTAACCCATGAACGTTTAAACCAATTACATTTGTTACGTTTCTCTCTTATGGTGAACATTTACGTCTGTTTATGTCATCATTTTAGGGGGAAACATTGTAAATTGTGGAAATTGAACGTTTGTGTGTATATGTTTGGGAACATTTTAGGTGAAATTTTAACGCGTGGAGTTGCCATTTCTGGCCTGCCTGACGTGTAGCTATAGTAGTGTGGTGTAGTAGTGGTTGTGGGTTAGTGTGTAGCTGTAGTGTGTGTGTGTGTGTGTGGTGGTGTGTGTTGTGGGTGTGTTTGTGTGTGGGTGGTGTTGTGTGTGTTGTAGTGGTCGATGGTTATGCCCAGGGCTTCTCCCTGTCTGCTGCCCTCATGACAGCTGTGTGATGTCCTGTGCTACACATTGACCACCACCACCACACAGTCCCTCCTACACCCTGGACCACCACCACCACCACACAGTCCCTCCCACACCCTGACCACACCACCACACAGTCCCTCCCTACACCCTGACCACCACCACCACACACAGTTCCTCCCACACCCTGACCACCCACACAGTTCCCTCCCACACCCTGGACCACCACCACCACACAGTCCCTACACCCCTGACCACCACCACACACAGTCCCTCCCTACACCCTGGACCACCACCACCACACAGTCCCTCCCTACACCCTGGACCACCACCACCACCACACAGTCCCCTCACACCCTGACCACCACCACCACACAGTCCCTCCCACACCCCTGACCACCACCACCACACAGTCCCTCTACACCCCACCATCACCACACACAGTCCCTCCTACACCCTGACCACCACCACCACCACACAGTCCCTCCCACACCCCTGGACCACCACCACACCACAGTCCCTCCTACACCTGACCACCTCACCACCACACAGTCCCTCCTACACCCTGACCACACCACCACCACACAGTCCCTCCCTACACCCTGACCACCACCACCACACAGTCCCTCCTACACCCTGGACCACCACCACCACACAGTCCCTCCCACACCCTGACCACACCACCACCACACACAGTCCTCCACACCTGACACCACCACCACACAGTCCCTCCTACACCCTGGACCACCACCACCACCACACACAGGTCCCTCCTACACCCTGACCACCACCACCACACAGTCCTCCTACACCTGACCATCACTACCACACAGTCCCTCCTCACCCTCTGACCACCACCACCACCACACAGTCCCCACACACCCCTGACCACCACCACCACCACACAGTCCCCTCACACCCTGACCACCACCACCACCACACACACAGTCCCTGCCACACCCTGGACCACCACCACCACAGTCCCTCCCACACCTCTGAACCACCACCACCACACAGTCCCTCCTACACCCTGGACCACCACCACCACCACCACACAGTCCCCTGCACAACCTCACCACCACCACCACCACACAGTCCTCCCACCCTGACCACCACCACCACACAGTCCCTGCTACACCCTGACCACCACCACCACCACACAGTCCCTGCTACACCCTGACCACCACCACCACCACACAGTCCCTCCTACACCTGGACCACCACACCACCACCTCCACACAGTCCCTGCTACACCCTGACCACCACCACCACCACACAGTCCCTACACCCTGACCACCACACCTCACCACACACAGTCCCCTACACCCTGACCACCACCCACCACCACACAGTCCCTGCTACACCCTGACCACCACCACCACCACACAGTCCCTCTCATACACCCTGACCACCACCACCACCCACAGTCCCTGCTACACCCTGGACCACCACCACCACCACACAGTCCCCACACCTGACCACCACCACCACCACACAGTCCCCTGCTACACCCTGACCACCACCACACCACACACAGTCCCCACACCCTGACCACCACCACCACACACAGTCCCTGCTACACCCCTGACCACCACCACCACCACACAGTCCCTGCTACACCCTGACCACCACCACACACAGTCCCTGCTACACCTGACCACACCACCACCACCACACAGTCCCCTCACACCCTGACCACCACCACCCCACCACACACAGTCCCCTGCTAACCCTGACCACCACCACCACCACACAGTCCCTCCTACACCTGACCACCACCACCACCACACAGTCCCCCACCCTGACCACCACCTCACCACCACACAGTCCCCTGCTACACCCCTGGACCACCACCACCACCACACAGTCCCTCCCACACTGACCACCACCACCACCACACAGTCCCTCCTACACCCCTGGACCACCACCACCCACAGTCCCCTGCTACACCCTGACCACCCCACCACACACACAGTCCCTCCACACCCCTGGACCACCACCACCACACAGTCCTCCTACACCCTGACCACCACCACCACCACACAGTCCCTGCTACACCCTGGACCCACCACCACCACACAGTCCCTCCCACACCCTGACCACCACCACCACCACACAGTCCCTCCCACACCCCTGACCACCACCACCACCACACAGTCCCTGCTACACCCTGACCACCACCACCACCACACAGTCCCTCCCACACCTGACCACCACCACCACCACACAGTCCCTCCTACACCCTGGACCACCACCACCACCACAGTCCCCAATGCTAACCTGACCACCACCACCACCACAGTCCCCACACCCTTGACCACCACCACCACCCACAGTCCCTCCTACACCCTGACCACCACCACCACCACACACAGTCCCTGCTACACCCCACCACCACCACCACCACACAGTCCCCACACTCTGACCACCACCACCCCACCACACAGTCCCTGCTACACCCTTGACCACCACACCACCACCACACAGTCCCTGCCACACCCTGACCACCACCACCACACACAGTCCCCACACCCCTGACCACCACCACCACCACCACACAGTCCCTACACCTGACCACCACCACCACCACACAACAGTCCCCACAACCCCACCACCACACCACCCCACCACACAGTCCCCTACACCCTGACCACCACACCACCACACAGTCCCTAACTTGACCACCACCCCACAGTTTTATTTAGCTTCTATTAACGTCTATACTACCTACTAATTATCTCTTCTCTTCCTGAATTAAACGATAATACTCTGTTAACTGACCCATTACAACACTATTCATAAACACACTATCAAGATGCAATCACCACAACACGGACCCTGACCTGACCCTGACCTTGACCTTCAGTGTTGACCTACTACAGCATCCAACCTGACAAGTTTCATCAAATTGTGAACCCGTTATAGAGGTGTTTCTCACGCACACACACACACACACACACACACACACACACACACACACACACACATAGTTAGATATGGTAGCCGAGTGATATAGCGCTGCCTTCTATCCTATGGGTCACTGGTTCGATCCCCGGCACCCACAGTTCAACCAGCTGTAATTGGGGACTTGGTGGCCAGTTGAGGATGTAGGCCAGTCGAGTACAGTGTCGACCACATTGTCTCTTTGTTTACCAAAGACTCAGTATACATAAGAGGGATACAGTATACATGTCGTCTGAGTTAGGGTTTACTTAATTCACATTTATTGAGTTACAGGTAAATTTTCACCTGTAATAAATAACAGAATTATAGGTAAGGCTGTAAAGGTACTTAATTAATACAAGATTACTGTAGTTTTAGAATTAATTAACCTTGATATTCTTCTTACAGTTCTTAATATCTAATTCATAATAACAATCTGAAATACCATCAATCAAACTTATACAATGTTGTATATTTTCAATGTTTATTTTGCATTATCACCACTTTTTATGAACTCATTCTCGTTGCAAGGTAGTTTCTCAGTTAACATTAACGAGCTCATTGCTTCTGAGCCACCTCTGCCAGCCACCTAGTTAACATCGCCTGGCTTTACCATTAACACTCAGACAACACGCGATGTACACAAGGGTCCTTAACTACGCACCATAACGCCAGCACTAGAGTGCGTTAACATCACCTGGCGTTCCCTTAACCTCGAAATGATACGACACACATAAGAGATGAACGCCTGACGAACATTCGCCTGGAAGATGATCGCCAGGGTCTTCGGATCGGCTTTAAATTCTCCTCCTAATCTTCTTCTTCTTCTTCTTCTTCTTCTTCTTCTCGTAATTATCTTCCTCGTCTTCCTCCCCCTATCCCTTATTCTCCTCCTCCTCCTCCTCCTCCTCCTCCTTTACCACCACCTCCTCCTCATCCTCCTCCTCCCCCTCCTCCTCCCTCCTCCTCCTCCTCCTCCTCCTCCTCCTCCTCCCTTCCCTCCTCCTCCCTCCTCACACAACGGAGCCTATTAAGTCTGTAAAGGTCTCGCGTCCTCCGTCCTAACTGTGTCTTATAAATACCATCACAACACTACCTATGTCCAGCCTCTCTCTCCTCTTATCTTCCTCCTCCTCCT